ATGGATCAAAGACCTAAATATAAGATCTGAAACATAAATTACATAGAAGAAAACACAGGTACTAAATTTATGGACCTTGGTTGCAGAGAGCATTTTATGAATTTGACCTCAAAGGCAAGAGAAGTAAAGGTAAAAATCAATCAATCAATCATTCAATCAATCAATGGGACTATCAAACTAAAAAGCTTCTGAACAGCAAAAGGAACTGCCAACAAAACAAAAAGGCAACTGGCTAAATGGGAGATGATATTTGCAAACAACAGCTCCAACAAAGGGTTAATGTCCAAAACATATAAAGAACTCATAAAACTCAATACCAAACAAACAATCCAATTAAAAGATGGGCAGAAGACCTGCACACTCACCTCTCCCTAGAAAATACAAATGACCAACAGATATATGAATAGATGTTTAACTTCACTAGCTACTTGGGAAATGCAAATCAAAACTACAATAAGATACTACCTCACACCTGTTAGAATGGTCATTATTAACAAGACAAATAATAACAAGTGTTGGAGAGGTTGTGGTGAAAAGGGAACCCTCAGTCCCTGTTGGTGGGACTATAAACTGGTACAGCCACTATGGAAACAATATGGTGGTTCCTCAAAAAATTAAGAACAGAGCTATGATATGACTGAGCAATCCCTCTTTTGGGTATCTACCTAAAAAACAAAAAAAATCTATTTGCAAAGACATATGCACCCCTAGGTTCAGTGCAGCATTATTCACAGTGGCCAAGGCATGGAGACCACCAAAGTGCCCTGCGACAGAGGACTAGAGGGTAGAGAAGATGTGGGACGTGCACACGATGGAATACACTCGGCCATAAGAAAGGATGAAACACTGCCATTTGCGACAACATGGATGGACCCTGAGGATATTATGTTAAGTGAAATAAGTCAGAAAAAGCTAAGAACCATATGAGTTCACTCGTATGTGGGGTATAAACTGAAACTTGTGGACAGAGACAGCAGTGTGGTGGTTGCCAGAAGGAAGGTGGTGGGAGGTGGTGTGGGGTGGAGGGGGCCTAATATATGGTGACAGAAGATGGTTTGATTTTGGGTGGTGGGAACACAGTGCAATATACAGAGCTTGTATCATAGAAATGCACACTTGAAATCTATATGATCTGATTAACCAGTCACCCCAATACATTTAATTAAAAAAATTTAAAATATATATTAAGTAGGCTTGTAATGAAAGTATAGTTCAAGTGATTTAATATTAAAATGTATTTTTATTACATCAATATTATAATTGTTCACCTGTGTATCTCTAAGTTTCATTATAAAAAAGCATAAAGAATTATTAGCTTTGGTAAGTTCTCGATGGAAGCGAAGCGCACACTTCTGAAGTGTTTTCCCAACACTGACGTGATTTCGGGGTGGAGGTTCTGGCTCCAGTGCCAGGTCAGTGCGCTCCTCCAGTCCCCCACCGTGCTGCCCTTTCTCTGTGAGCAGAAAGCAGTCTTTGCGTTTGTAGATAAAGCAAGAAGAGTTTATGTGGTTGCAGAGTAAGTATTTGTGCCCAAATCTGATTTACTAGGACATCTTCCCAAAGAACACTCCTTCATAAGAGCCGCCAACAAGGCAAGCCCACAGATGCGTGCTGTCAAGCAGGCTGCTGGTGCCGGGCTAGGGGTGGCTAATGAAAGTGTAAAAGGAGGTTATATTTCTTTTTTTATTTTTGTAAATGAAGGGGGACTTCTTTGTTTAAAAATACATTTTTATTGATTTCAGAGAGAGAAAGGGAGAGGGAGAAAGAGACAAAAACACAGTAAGAAAGACACATCTACCGGCTGCCTCCTACATGGCCCCTGCTTGGGGATTGAGTCCGCAACCTGGGCATGTGCCCTGACCAGTAATTGAACCCGCAACCCTCCAGTGCATGGGGCGACGCTCAACCACTGAGCCACATCTTAAACAAAAAGACATTGGCTGAACCATCTGCCCAAATACTGCTGAGAGGCTGGTTTCCTGAAACCCATGAAGCATTGGGGCCTTTTTGTTTTGGTTCCCAAGCTTATAGCCTAGCACACTAATCAGTATATCCAAGAATCGGTTTGCGAAGATGATAGAACTAACCAACTACCCGAACTAACAGAAATCCACATTTATGAACGGCATCTACAGTCAACTGTTACATGTACCTTTTCACATTAAGTTTTCAGGACATAAAAGGAGTCCATCACAGGAATAAATTTCATAGCTATCCCATCCAAAAAAAGAAAAAGTGTAATGTATTTGTAGAATTCTAGGTTCTCCTTGCTGGTGTGTGTATCAAGACAGAACCTGTGGACTAGATTTCTAAAGTCCCCTCCAACTTTAAGATTCTAAAAAGTCAGAAAAGTGGTTCTCCAAGTGCAGTCCCAGGACCAGGCGCATCATCAGCATCGCCGAGAACCTGTTAGAAATGCAAATTCGAGCCACCTCTACCTATCAGAAGCTCTTGGGCTGGGCCCAGGCATCCCTTTTAAAGCTGTGGTAGGCAGCCACAGTGTGGCCCCTGATGACCACTGCTTGGTACTCACATCTTGTGTAGTCACATCCACGAGGCTGACTTGTACAGCAGACAGAAAGCAGCCCATGTGATAGTTTATGTCCCTGAAAAGTGCTGCAGCCTCCTCTGTCCCTGCTCACTTGGGGCCGTGGCTCTAGGGAAGCCAGCGCCATGTGTTGAAGATGCTCAAGAACTCAGGTGGTCCTACGGACAGATCCTGCGGAGGGAAACTGAGGCCTCTGGCAGCAGCCATCGTACAGGTGAGCCACCTTGAAGGCAGACTGGCTGCCCAAGTCTAAAGAGCTTGGCTGCGGCCTCCTGAGATACAAGCCAAGTCATCCAGCCCATCTGCTCCCAGACGGCTAACCCACAGAACCCGTGTGAGATAAATCCTTTTGGCCTTTTCAGTAGCCGAGTTTTGGGGTATTTCACTTCGCAGCATTAGGAAACGAATCCATACACCCTCTGGGTGATGCCGATGCAATGCTACACTTTGAGAACCACTGAGCTAAAATGTTCGTTCAGCCCTGGCCGGTTTCTCAGCCGTTAGAGCGTCTGCCTGCGGACCGAAGGGTCGCGGGTTTGATTCTGGCCAAGGGCATGCGCCTTGGTTGCAGGCTCCGACCCTGGCTCCCGCTGGGGTGTTTACGGGAGGCAACCAATTGATGTGTCTCTCTTGCATCGATGTATCTCTCTCTGTCTCTCCCTCCCACATTCTCTGAAAAACACATTAATAAAATATCCTTGGGTGACAATTAACAACAACAAACCAAAAACATACATTCCTTCTCCAAATAATTACTGTTTGTGCCTACTGTGTGCCAGACTGAAACAGGAGCCCAATGGTGGGCAGAACAGACCTCCAGACCTGCTTTTTCCTTCGCTGCCCGCATCACAGCCTGGACATTTGTCCGTGTGCACGTACCGACCTCGTCTGCCACCGCTGCCTGTAAGTCCCGGGCAGGACCCTGCCCGGTTTCCTCACTCGCACAGCCCTGGGCCCACAGGAGGATGTGCCTTGTGGGTGACCCTTCCCTTCCAGCTCCCCTGCCTTCAGCCCAGGAGCAGGCCTCTAACTGGCACAACATTCCATGTAAGGGGCCAGGTGTGTTCCCCCGGGATTCTAACAGCCATGCGCCAATTTACATAAAAGAAATGTCTTTTGTGTTCAAGAGAGTCAGCTTTTAGAGTCCCTCTGTTTCACACATGCAGGTTCATACACATGTAGGGAAAATGTGTGAGGCGGGTGTAGACATGCGATGGGAGACAGCTTGTCACCGCTGGATCAGCAGCTCCTCAAGGAAGAAAGGGGTCCCTGCGCCTGCAGGGGGAGCCCCGTGCTCACCCGGGAAGCAGGAGCGCAGGGCTGTGCGCACCTCTCCTCAGACGGGGCGTCCTGCTGACCGCACTGGGCAGAACCCGCGACTGCGAGCAGGGGGACATCCCTACCACGCGGGCCGGCCGAGCAAGGGGACATCCCAACCACGCGGGCTGACCGAGCAGGGGGACATCCCAACCACGCGGGCTGACCGAGCAGGGGGACATCCCAACCACGCGGGCTGACCGAGCAGGGGGACATCCCAACCACGCGGGCTGACCGAGCAGGGGGACATCCCAACCACGCGGGCTGACCGAGCAGGGGGACATCCCAACNCCGAGCAGGGGGACATCCCACCCACGCGGGCCGACCGAGCAGGGGGACATCCCACCCACGCGGGCCGGCCGCGGGATCTTCTGTTCAGTAGCTGACGTCACCGGTCGGAGTGTTTGGAAATGAGGTGCTGAGACAATCAGTCTGCAGCCATCAATGTGACCTCAGAACAGGAAGGCACACTTGGAGAACACTTTTAGATAAGCGAAGAAAAGACTCATTGATCTTTAAACACTCTCCTGGCAGGCAGACGGAGATGCAGGTGACATCATTTTACTGGCATATAGGAAAGTCACATAAATTATAGAACAGGCTCTGGCTCTGGGCATATTTCTAGCCAGATCCAGGAAGAGGCACAAAGGCTGCAGCACAGCCGGAGACGCGGAGGGGCCGGCCCTGCTGGGCGTGGCTCGCCCAGGCTGATCTGCTCACCTCAGCGAGGGGCTCACACTTAGATACCACCAGGGACGGGAGCCGCAGATGGAGTCAGTGACATCAGGCCACGCCTCCTGCACACCTATGTCCCCACAGAGCCAGCCTGCAAGTGGGAATGAAGATGCCCTATCAACTTGCTCTGTTTCATTCTCTTGTGACGAGCCCAGCTTGACAGTGCCCCGCAGAGCTGTCCGTGACAGGGGAAATGCTCTCTGCCTGCGCTGCTGGATCCAGTGCCACCAGGAGCACGCAGCTCCCGAACGCTGAAATGTGGCTGGTAACACTGAGCAACTGAAGTTTTCCTCTTATTAATCCTGATTTAAATTTAAATAGCCATTTGTGGATAATAGCTGCCAGACAAGACAGAAAAGCTCTAGAAAATAACAGCAACTGCAGACCGGCCCCTGACACATCCCTTCAAAAGTTTTATTATTTGCATTTTTCAGGTGCACGTACGCAGGCTGACAGGATTAAGCATCTTGCCTGTGATGAGAAAGCCAGTGAATGGCAGAGAAGAATTCACACTCACTCTGCCCAACCCAAAGATGCTCTTGCAAAGACACCAAACTGCAATCCCCTTTCTCATGTAGAAGCAGCCGCAAAGGCAGGTATCAGCCTGGGAAACTCCAAATTCTCAGTCAGCAGCCTGAAACAAAGCTGACCCTATACACGAGCCATGATCTCTTTTGGCAAAAACACGGGAAATTTTTTTCTCCAGCTATGACTATGTAACTTGAATATCTCAGACTACATCACAGTGAGTAAATCTGACAACCTCCACTGTGCCCCNAGTGAGTAAATCTGACAACCCCCACTGTGCCCCGAAACTTTTGCTCTAATCAAATATTAGGCAAATAGATTCACAAGAAGACGAGTAAGAAAAAGATGTTATTAAATGTCTGTCAAATCCTATGTGCCATCTACANCGAAACTTTTGCTCTAATCAAATATTAGGCAAATAGATTCACAAGAAGACAAGAGTAAGAAAAAGACGTTATTAAATGTCTGTCAAATCCTATGTGCCATCTACGCATTATTCTATCGCCCTTCACTGATACACTAAATCAACAGCAGCCAATGGAACTGCACAAAAGAGACAGAGCTTGGGATTTCAAAAGAGTGATTTGGAACTCAAGAGTGTCAAAGGCATGACTTTAGAAATTGAGGAAGTAACATGCAGAGTCATAGTGTAAATTTTGTTTGAATTCTGCATAAAATATTCACATTATTACAATACTGAGACCCACCCCAAAGCTACAAGTCTCTGTTCAGATACTGTGCATGTCCCTTGTATCTATGACCAAACCAACCCTGCCTTCTTAATCCCGTCTAAGCACAGGATCCACTGTGCAGCCCAAGCCATGGTGCAGGTGATAAAGTCAGTGACATCAGGGTGGAGGGTATGAGTTTCTTTTGCGTGAGACTAATGTCCTTGGTTCTGTTACTGCTTTCATATTGCTAAGGAGATCTAAGAAGTGCTTTACATTACCCAACTCAGTGAAATCAAAGAAATAATGGGGCGATAAGCTGAAACGCAGGCAAATAAATGGGGTAAGACCACAAACTTTGAGGATCAAAGCCTGGCTGAAAAAAATATAGTAAGCCACGTGTGATATAATCCTGTTATATAAATTATATTTTGGGGTTAGAGCTGGTGGACTCTGGTGTTGAGAGCTGCGTAAGGTGCTAGAGTCAGTCTGATCAGAGCCTGAGCCCACCTGGCATCAGCCTGTAGCCACAGTCAGCTCCCCCGGGCCTCCTATGGACAGTGTGCTCGGAGTGTGTGGTGGACCAGCAAGGGCTGAGGTGAGGCCTGTGTGTCATCCCCCTGAGGCTGACAGGGCTGGACGCTCTGACCCTGAGAATGCAGCACGGAGATGCTGCGCACATCTCCAGGCCTGGGCCGTAGGACACTGGCAGCTCTAGCTCCCGCCTTTGGCACCACTAGCCAAGGGCCCGTTCAGGAGGTGCAGCTACCCTGAGACCACCGCGTGGGAGACCAGGTGCAACCACAGGTGAGCGGTCCCAGCTGGGCCTGGCCAGGGGGCTGGACACGGAGTGAAGCCGCCCCATAAAACAGCTGAACCGCAACCAAGGGACCCCCATCAACGCCTGCAAACAATAGTGCTGCCCCAACAAGCCTGTCCTGACCCATAAAATCCGGAGAGAAAACAAAGCAGGTCTTCCTTTAAACCTTGGAATTTTGGCGTAGTAGCTACGCAGCAACAGAAACAGGGACAGATGTATCTCTCTTCCTCAGCTGGTCTATTTCCCTCTAAAACCACCTTTTAGCTGTTCTTGCTGTAAAACACGAGTGCGCATTTCTTACCTATCAGGCCTGCCCTGCCTGAGCACCACCCTTTCGGTTCTTCAGATGCACCTACCAATGAAGCCGGAAGACGGGGGGTTGGGCTGGATCTTCTCCCTGGTGTTCTCCTGGATGACGTCCCAGAGCTGCCATATAAACTTGGGGTGGAGAATATAGAAGGGCTGATCTGGGTTTCTCTGGCGATGCTGAACGTACGGAGTGAACAGGTTGTAATCTGGCTTCTTGTACCACTAAGAGGAAAAAAAATCAACACAATCAAGGCCTGAGGACCACACTGGGCAAGGGCCACAGGGTGGCACCGAAGGGAAGGAGGGACTCGGAGGTGGAGGAGGGGCTTCGGACAGAGAGCAAGGGTCCCACAGAGGGACAGACGCTTGGTGCTTGAGTGAAATGGCTTCACAGTGCCCAGTGGACTTCTCTAAAGGGCTTGGTGGGTTATGCAGTCTCTGTGGCAACCACTCAACTCTGCCCCACAGGCAGCCACACAACATGCAAAATGAATAGCATGGCCCGATCTGTCCCATGGCTGTGGTGTGCTGACCCCTGGGCTCAAAACTAATCTATAGTGGCAGGAAGCACATCAATTAACGCCTGGGCAGGGGCTGGGGGGACTCCCTGGAGTGATGAAAATATCCCATTTCTTAACTGTGGTTGCAGATACATGACTATAGATATTTGCTAATACTCATCAAAATGTATACTTACATTGATTGTATATAAATTATTTTCTGAAAAAATGGTTGACTGAAAAAAACGGTTGCAGAAGCATGTCAGTTGCCACCATGGAATGGGATTTGGAGAAGGTGAGGGAGGGAGGGGCTGGCTCACAGAGCTCAGGCCCGTGCTCCCTTCAGACAGACAACCTGGTCTAGAGTAAGATCCTGAGGAACAGACCATGGCTGAACGTGTTCTGTTGTTTTGAAAATGTGAGAATGTCTGGGCCAGATCATCTTGAGTGAGGCAGTGGGCAGGGGGCCAGAGGAGTGCGGGACTTGCTTCTTCCTCTCCTCCCCCCGTCCTGACACAGCAAATGGAAAGACAGGCCTGGCCGCAGCAGCCGTGTCACTCAGACCTCAGCACCATCGCACCCACACCCATGGGGTTGCAAGCTCTGCGCCTTGGGCTTGGCTGCTTCCAACAGAGCAACACACAAGGTTAGCCAGCTAGCAGCTTTTGGTCCGTCCAGAGACAGCAAGAGAGCCCTGAGGCCTTAAGCCAGAGAAGGGCTGGGAAGGAAGCGGAAAAGCTCAAACACCCACCTGATGCCCGACTGTCAATAGAGGGCACATGTGAGAACCCACAAGGCTCTCAGGAAACACACACACCATGTGCTGCATTTCTGGAGATGGGCTCTGACGGAGCTGGGAAACCCTCTCCTGGTGGTTCTGATTTCAATCCTGGTTAAAGCTCCCTAGTAATCATGCCGGTTAAGGTCCAGCTTCAGCATCAGGGTGAACGGCCACAGAGCACGCCTTTCAGAGGGACCCGTCGACCTTGGGCAGCTCTCTTAGAAAGTGACCTCTTGGTGGAGCCAAGGTCGGTCCCCCTCTCCAGGCTGCATTCCCTTGAGTCACAGCAGAACAAGTGGAAAGACAGTCGCTGGCACAGCTGGCAGCATCTCCCCCGGGCTCTTTAAAAACACCGACACTGACTTTTCACCCCAGGCTTCACCAGAAGCAACTGGCTGCTTGCTGAGCTAGGCAATGATTTGCCAGAAAGTCACTCATGTAACTCACTTACATTTCACTGGCTAGTGATAACCTCGTTTATGCTTCATCATAAGACCAAACAGGGTTAGAAGCTGAAGCCACAGAGCAACACACTCAAGGAAAGCCTGTTGCAGGTTCATGTAAATAATAAGCTGTTGATACACAAGTTTAGATTTTCTTGCCAAGCACCTCCAATTTATTTCAGAAGGTCTTATAGCTTCTTGGAAGGTAATGTAGCTCTATCATAATGGGAACATTTTCAGTGTAATCAACCCAACCTCCAGCATAACGAGGAATGTCTGAACATTTGGACATTGGTCACTGAAAAAAATCCTCCACAGCCTAAGCTCTTTACAGACGGACACTGTTCACCAAGCAGCTTTGAGAAGCGGCACCGAGATGGCCTGGGCAGCCACGGCCAGTTTCATTATGTCTATCAAAGCTGAATCCCACGAGTCATCAGTCAAAGGCACCTTCTGACGAGAGGGGCAACAGGTGAGAACTTACCAGGTCCAGGTTTGCAGAATAAGGGGCGGGGTCCCAGGCCACCAAGATGACATCTTTGTACAGTGAACTGTCAATGAAGTGATGGCTGGGGTTGGTCAGGATCTGCAAACACACAGAGAACTCATTCCAGAGAACGTGTTTGGTTCTTTAAAATCATATTTTAAAAAGGGATGAGAAGTTTTTTCCTTGCTCTGATTCATTTGTAAAAAGTTCCTCCGATTGTTTTCCTCTGGGGGAGGGAGAGAGGCGAGCATCGCATGCTACAGCACTTAAAAGAAATGTTTGGGGAAATGAGTTTTGTTGCTGTGTTTTTTTTTTAAATCTACCAGTTCTTACATTTCCTCCAAGCACTGTACTCATATCTAGTGGTACCGAATCGGCTCCTGACAGATGTAGCCCCCCAGCTAATTCAGGGCCCCACAAACTTCTCCAGTGTCTCCACAGGCAATTTGGGAGGGGGCTGCAGATGTGGGTGATGAATTATGTTGGCGCCTCAGCGAGCCAGCCCCAGGATGGAGGGGACACGGTGAGCCAGCCCCAGGCAGAGGGGACACAGTGAGCCAGCCCCAGGACGGAGGGGACACGGTGAGCCAGCCCCAGGACGGAGGAGACACGGTGAGTCAGCCCCAGGACGGAGGGGATATGGTGGGCCAGCCTCAGGACAGAGGGGACACGGCGAGGTAGCCTCAGGATGGAGGGGACACAGTGAGCCAGCCTCAGGACAGAGGGGACACAGCGAGGTAGCCTCAAGATGGAGGGGACACAGTGAGCCAGCCCCAGGACGGAGGGGACACGGTGAGCCAGCCCCAGGATGGAGGGGACACGGTGAGCCAGCCCCAGGACGGAGGGGACACGGTGGGCCAGCCTCAGGACAGAGGGGACACGGTGAGCCAGCCCCAGGACGGAGGGGACACGGTGAGCCAGCCTCAGGACGGAGGGGACATGGTGAGCCAGTCACCCCTAGTCAGCGTGGTTGAGGGTCCTCCTCTGTGGCTCTAGCTAGACTGGATGAGTTCTTCAATCTCACCTGCCAATCACCTTTTTTTAAACTACATTTTTAAGAAAAAATAATGTATTGGTTTCGATTTTCACAGTTTTTAAGATGTGCTTTCTTTTCTTCCCATCTTAATGTTTCTGAAGTTCAAATGCATCTTACAGATGACATGTGTTTGAACTGGGTGGGCTTATCTCCTCCGCTCTGAAAAGCTGATGTGAAATGAGGGGCGAGTCTTCTAATCAGCAGCCTCTGTGATTAAGGAAACGCGGCCATTGCTTCTGCCCTGCGGTGACCGCCTGGCTCCGGGCGCCACGCGGGAGTCCGACCTTTCATTCTGCAAGCAACTCACCATAAAGCACTCATCCCCTCATATTTCTCTATACAGTTTGAAACTCTAGAAATTGTAATGGTCTGTTCTGAGAATAATTTTGCTACAAATTTGGAAAACATTCTTATTAAGAATACATAGAAAGGAGATATTTTTGTTTTCAATTCAACAATCCATTTTCATTTTTAAAACTTTCAAATAAGAGTTCTCAAGCTACCCGACTAGCCGTGAGTTTTGTATCTCTGCTTTTCTCTCCTCCGTCCCCTGCGTCCTCGTGGCCACTACTCGTACGTCGAATGTCTTTTCAAAGTCCACACGAGGCAATGTGGTAAGTCTATGATTTTATATATATCACAGATTTTTCCTTTTGACATTATTTACTCACTTTTTCCTATTCGTGTCACACACCAGTTCCCATTTCTCTACATCTTTTCCTCATTAATTCTTTATAATCACAAGACCCACAGCAATAAGGAAGGCCGTGGCCACGGGGACTGAACTCTCCCCACTCGCCAGCCAGGCCGCTGGCCGAGCGCGCACCCGAGCGGACAGCCCAGCGCCTTACCTGGGAGTTAATGATGCGCAGGGTGGTTTTGTTCCCCACATCCCTCTCGTAGCCACGGGTTGGAGCAGCGTTAAATCTCAAGACCGCATCGTGAGAATCTAGGGGCACAGAAGTGACAAACTCACTGTTTTTTCTACTTCTCTAGAATAAGCATAATCTAGGAAAATATCTTTCAAGACCAGAAGCTGATTAGACACCGACAGTGAAGAGACCCATTCACGTATTTTTCAGCGACCTGTGTGTTTAGAAAGAGCTGCTGCCTAGGGGCAGGTCAGCGTGGAGGCACAAATCCGGGCGGTCACACCTGGCCCCGCGTCATCTCAGTCATACAGAGATGCTTACGTGCCCACATTCTTTACAACGGGGGGCTTTTAACAGCCATTCGCCTAAAGTCTCCAAATCACTTTGAGGATGGAATCAGTGGGGACAGGTAAGGATGCTACAAACAGGCTGCTCACCTGCGGCTCCTCACGGCTTGCAGAGCAGGGAGGCTGCTCCTGGGGCCGCCAACGCCGAGGCCTGCGCCAAGGCCAAGTGCGTCTCTCATGCACTCAGAGCCACAGCCTGCAGCGCACCTTGACCACTTTTGGGTGCTGGTTTGTGCTTAAAAAAGAAAACCACCCCTAGTTTCTGTGCATCTTGACATACTGGTGACAATGCCAAGAAGGCCCGTGAGAGCCACCTTGGCACACACTCTTCCTCCTCTTGCAGAAATGGCCGGACTTGCTGCCTGAGCCTGGAGGAAGGGAGGTGCCACCAATGGCACCTGCAATCAAAGCTATTTATAGTATTCCTAGTCCACGGCGCACACCTCGGTTCACAGAGCTTCAACCCCAACACAGATCCACGTCTCTTTGCATTGGACGGGACAGTCAGACTTTCCCAAGTTCTCTGAGGTCCCCAGAACAAGGCTCTGGTGCAGGCTGGCAAGGGAGACAAGAGCTGGGGTAGAGGACCGCGGGCTCACCTGACTAAGGCATGGAAATGGGGGAGATGTTTGCCCCTTTCCACACAGCAGTCTCTATATATACACGTCTTAAAATTTCCTGTGCCGAGTAATTCATTCTTAGAAACTAGCCTGAAAACAGGCGTAATCAGCAATAAGGGAATTTCCATAGGCTATCTTTAGCTTCATAATTCTATGCACATTCTAAGTTCAACTTGGAGCAACAGCAATGCCTATTTATGAGAGAGTGAGAGGGGAGATTATGCATTTCTGATCTGCCAAAGAGTCTTGTGGATACAGGCTGCACTTATGGTGACCATACCCCTCAAGTCCCTGAAGCAGTCTGCCTCCTTCACCTGAGTCCTGCTGTCCCCTCCCGAGGAGTCTCCTGGGAGAGATCTTCCTAACCTCTAAGTGGTAGAGCCTCTGCATGTGTGTCACCCCTAAAACCACTTTGCAAAAGGTGCCTCTCTGAACAAGTGTCGAACTCAGAAGAATCCAGACTCCACAAGATCACCACACTTTTGGAACACAAACAATGCATAAAGGGAAGGTGACTAAGTCATCGAAAAGTTCTACAATGTTCTTTTAGGGGAAATTTGCAATAGTCAGCAAGCTATGACCTGCCTCCAGTTTTAGTAAATAAAGTTGTACTGTGACAGACACACTCACTTGTTTATCTATTGTCTGTAGTGGCAGAGCTGAGCTGTGAGACCCTATGGCTCACAAAGCTCAAAACCTTTACTACCTGGCTCCTAGGAGTAAGAAGTTTCCACTCTCAGGATTCTTACATTTTGGTCTCAGGACCCCTTTACATTCTTGAAGATGTATGACAACCCAAAGACATTATGTTTATTTAAACTATATCTATCAATATATACCATACTAGAAAATAAAACAGAAAAAAAAAGTTTATTAGTTTAATTTAAAATAACATATTTTGATGAAAAACACATTTTCAAAAACAAAAAAACAGTGAGAAGACTGGCACTGTTTTAAATGTTTGCAAGTCTCATTAATGAGTGACTTTTCAGAACCCTTTCTTTCTCCTGGTTGCTTGTGCATGAGTCAGCTGCAATATACTGCTTCAGCTGAAATACATAAAGACTCAGATGTACTGCCAGAAATGGGCAGAATATCTGAAGTCTTTGCAGATTACTGGGAATAGTCTTCTTCGATACTTCACCAAAACTTGATAAGTTATAGTTTCATAAAAGGTAGTTGCAATGAGGAATGTGACACAGTGTCAATGAACTTTTCATGCGGTTACATTAAAACCCATCTGTTTATCTTGCTCTTAAAGTGTATAATTCTGGAACACTGTGCAATGATCGTCTGGAGCCATCAGTTCAGTAAGTTACCCAGATCTTCCAAATACTGATGCATTTGGTTATAAAGTAAATCAAGCTCATGCTTGAAAGCCTGAATTTTATCATCTGCAGCAAACACTGTCAGCTATTTTCCCAAGAGTGACAGGCTCACTTAATCTGTTTTTGAGAGAATATCTGCCAATGCCCAAGACTGAATAAAGTCTGTCAGACACTTGTTTGAGGTAAAACGTGTGTTCATGATAAAGCGGCTAGTTCCACTCACAACTCACACAGACGCTCTCCCACTGTGTGCTGGTCTGCCCGGTGCCTTTCAGGTTATGTACCACTTGGTCTTAAAATTGCGGGTACTCAGAGATTTAATAAAATCATCTATCCATAAGTGAAACTGGCCCTTTTTCTTAATGTTACGCTTGGCAGCGAAAATACCATGCTTAGTAGAGTTGGGTCTCCTGCCTTGTGGGCCCTTGATTTGTGCTAAGAAACAGTTCTCTCCACCAATGCGTCTACAACAGCAGTAAATGTCAACAGTTAAAAAAATCTTTGAGTATTATTTAAAAAATATTTTCTCCTCGTGAGTCCCTGCAAGGGTCTTGGATTTCCAGGAGTAAGCAGACCCCACTGGGTGAACTCAGGCCTAAGGCAACCCCGTGTGACAGGACAGAGCGTGAGGGAAGCTGCAGCAGGGAGGTAAAGTTCAGGCACTGAGAGGGGTCAGGACACCTGGGTGAATGACGCCAGGACTCCCACAGCACAGCTCCCCACTGGACCAGGCCGCCCTCAGACAGCCCCGGCGAAGGCTGAGGTCGACAAGCCACAGATCCCAAGTGGTGGCTGCATTTCAAATTAATCAAGCAATTCCGAATTCATCACATCACTCCTGAAAGCATCACAGCTTTTAAATGCTGGAGTTTCACACAGAGTTGTGTTTTAAGCCTTCAAACTACTTCAAAGGCACAGAAATGCAATGCAGCTGACCTCCTTTAGCAGTGGGTTGAGTCTGAAGAGCTAAAAGGCCAGTTTTGTGAGAGGCAGGGAGGGAGAGCCAGAGGCTGGAGGCTGCGTGGATACCGACTGACGCTCCTTAAAGCTGTCTGTGAGCAGCTTCAGAGGATGGGAGGGAGGCGTGTGGGGCAGGACTAGCTGAGAGTGCGTCTGTCAGGCTGGCTGGCGTGTTTTGTAAACATATGTCTGGCTGTGTGTGCACTGCCTTGATAATGCACCTTGAAAACTAAGTTGTCCCTTCACATTTAAAAAGAAGGAAGAGATCAGCCAGCAAGCACCAGGGGAATAAAGTAAAGCACCACTTCTGAAGGAGAATTTCCAGGGTAGAGGGGTTCCTGTTGACCTTGAGAACAGAGCCAGGCTAAGTGCACTCACTGAAGGGAGATTAAGGCCCTTCCCCTTCCTGGAGCAGCCAGCCAGGAGGCTCAGGGGCCCTCGGTCACTGCCCTGTTCTGGGCAAGTCCCCCTCCTCCTCTCCCACACGCATCCGCATCCAGAGCACGGACTCTGCAACAGTGAGCAAGGGAAAGCCTGCAGTCCCCAGGAGCTTCATCGCTCCTCTCCTGGGACTCCTGCAGCGTGACTTATTTTTCCATGCCCTCACATCCCGGCTCTGGAGCGATCTCTCTAAAATAAAAAGTAGACGCCTCACTCTGCTTCAAGGACTTCAGTGCCTCTCCGCATGGCCCAGGGTCAGAGCTGGAGCTTCTGAACACCCGGGTTGGGGTTTGATGGAATCCAGGCTCCGCCCACTGGGCCTTCTAGGTGCCTACGTTTCCTTACCCATAAAACAGGAATAACTGTATCTACTACTTTGGGTTGTAAGGCTTCCAGCAGCTAACACATAAAAGCATTTGGTGCTGGGCCTGGTCTGCTGTAAACACCTACTGTGTGGTGCCTATGACGACGACGACTTAGTGAAGTCTAACTTCTGGGTGTGATGCTCCTGCTGACCTCCTGCGGCCTGTCCAGCTTACTCCCCTCCCCTCCCGGGGGCGCCCCTGCAGCTCCCTGCCCGAGCGCTGCACCCCTGGCCTGGCTTCCCCTCTCCGGTCATTGCCAACCTCCTCCCTGCCCAGGCACCAGCCCTCACAGGGGTTAGGGCTGCGCCCTTCCCTCTCCGTCCATACCTCTCAGTGCCCCTCCTAAACACAGTGCCGCTGCGCGCACAGTCCGCCTTCCCCACAACACTGCAGAGGACTCGAGGCCGAGGTCTGTTCCCTACCGTCTCTGGGTCACTCGTAGCTGGCATAGTTGTCAGGCCTCAGAGAGGTGGGGATCAATACATACTCAATGCTTGTTCAATGACTCTGATCTTTCATGCTTTTTTGAAGGAAACAGGACACACCCAATCCAGCCTCCACCCACTGGGGAGCACTGTAAGTTCCACTCCCTATATACCCGCCCCCCCATCCCACACACTTTGCAGAATTTGAGTTTCAAGTACACAGATCCTGATCTCCGGTATCAAGGCCACCACTGTTAGCGCAGAAAAGACATTGCTCCTCTGCAGTGTGTTTCCACAGGACTGCTGGCAGCCGACCTCGCTACCAAATTACTATTTACATATATGGGTGACAGAAAACCTCACTGGTTCTAGAAAAGAATGTCCCACATTTCCAAAACAGTTTAGTTTGCTTTTCAATAACATATTCCACATGGAGGTGTTGACAACTGCTACAACTTTCTTAAAAACAGTTACAGGGCATGACTCGGTGTAAGAGCTGAGAAACAGGACTGCACTGCCTGTGGAACCAGCAGAGGGAGCTCGAGGGCGAGACCTCCTCCCGGGTGGGGTGTGACTGCTGGGTATTCAGACACGGTTCTGCAGACAGGGGTCTCCTGGCAGCGCCCACAGGGAGCCAGCCCCAGGGGCTTTACTGGCTTTGCCCTTAATTTTTTGTAAGACTATGTTGGTAAGTGTTTTGATCTTCACTTAGCCAAGCCACATGAGATTTTTAGGGGCCAAGATGAATTTAGCTAACTAGTACAGCATGCCCCAATATTCCAAGCTGCCTAGAGGAATCTGCTAGGCTTTGTTTTTATTAAGAGAGCCAATAACAGCTCTGTGTTGATAAGCACTGATAAGCACGTACACAGTCAGGTGAGCAGGAAGAGAGAAGTCACCACCTCACATGCAGCTCTGGTTAAGAGATATCAGCTTATAAAAATGAAGGACTTTTTCTTTTTAAAACTAGTGTTATGCTATGATAACATATTTTTAAAATGGTAGGTACCAAACTGGATTCAAAAAACATAGGCAAAACACTAGAGAATTTGAAAAACTGTGTTTTTCAGTTGAGATTCTACAGTTCTAATCACGAAACTTCATATCAGTGCATACATTAAAATTAAACTTGGGTACTAGAAATTAACAAAGACATAAGTGACATTCCATGTTCCCCACAAATGTGCAATGACCAGTGTCTTTCATACTCGAGTCCAAATTCTGAACAGAGTTTACGAGACTCTGGTCAGAGACATTTATGCCAGAATGGGAGCAGGGGAATTCTCCCTGGCATGCAGGAGCAATCCAAATGTGCAACTATGGTGCAGAGGTGTTTAACACACAGCAAAACCAGACCAGAAGCCAGTTACTGCCTGCTTTACAGCATGATACTTAAATTCCTTCTTACATTATTAATAATGGCCCTGGAAACGGGGGAGAGCTGTGGTGTTACTACGCTCCAGGGACCTCTAACCACTGCTTTCCCTAATCAATTGCAGGCTGCTCTGCTCCAGCTTTGGCTGCCCATTTATGTGACACATGGACAGTTATTATGGGCCTGCTGTAATGTCAGCGTGGGGACTCTGGGACCCCAGACCTCAAGTCTGGACTTGTGTCTTGTTTTGTTTTTTTTACTTAAAGAAATTTTTCACATTCAGCCTCATTCCCAAGAACATCCGAGATGAGGTCTGGGTTGTGGAGCCTGAATACCATGGCATGCAACCCCCCCTCCCCAATTTAAAGAGGGTCTGGACATCAACCCCTCCTGAAGGACACAGAACTACTAATGAGTCCAGGAAACAACAGCTGCCCCGAGTGTCACTTCCAGATTAGTAACGAGTAACACTGTCTGTTGTGAGTGTGTATTAGGCTTGGTCCTTCCACGCTGGCTCTTCAGGCTGGGGCTGTGTCTGATTCACAGTGGCCCTCGGGCACCTGTACAGAGCTGGCACACAGTAGGGGCTAAGTAGCTGTTTGCTCACTGGTGCAGCAACAGAATTAGCCTGGGCAGAGAGTGAAGTCTACGTCCTTAAAGCAAAGACTGACGTTCCCTGAAGAAGGAATTCGGCATCCAGACTGCAACAGAGAAACCCAGCCTGGGTTTTCCACCTGCCAGCCTGTCCTGCAGATTTCGGGCTCCAGATATCAACTCATACCTAAATTCCCAGACTACCTGCCAGCACTACAAGTTTCAGAATTTCCAGTCCCCAGAATCACAGGAGCAAGTCATTAAAATACAGCTTTCTCTCTACACGTATATCCCATCAGTCAGTTTCTCTGGACCGGCCTGACACAGGAACTATGAAGCGGAGAAGGGAAGATGGGAGCCCAGGTGTGGTCCTGTTATTTCCCATCTTGGAGAAGGGCCCTGCTAGGTGCACTGGCCCTGACCCAAAAGTTAAATCTGTACCAACAGGTCAGAACTCATTGTTGGGACAGGAATTATGTTCTCTCAACAGCAATCGGGCTCTCCTCAAAGCCCACAATGTCATNCAGGAATTATGTTCTCTCAACAGCAATCGGGCTCTCCTCAAAGCCCACAACGGTCAGTTTAGTCCCCAACTAACTATAATCAGAGCATTGAATGCTTCTCTTTGGAGCTGACACCCCTAACTGCCTTTGATCTGTGGGCATCTGCTTTCCTTTCTCGCCCCTTTGTTTGTTTCCCACAACTCGACCAGACTAGGGCTCATCAGGCTTTTGTGGGCCAGGCTGGGAGACTATCAACTCAGAACATCATTTCTAAGGGAGCAGAAGGGTCTTGGCTGCAAAAGGCTGGGACTCTGGCCTTCCGCTCCCCCTGGACCGAGCTATGGGTCCAAAAGTGCCCCAAACGACACCTCCGCTGGGATCTCAGACAGGCTCCTCGGTCCCAGCTAGAGAGAAGCAGCCTCCAGCTAACGCCCTGGGCACCCAGGGCCAGACCCGCGCTGCCCGTGGGAGCCGGAGGAAGGTGGCCAGGGAGCCAGCCCCTAACCACGGCGAGTCCCCAGGACACCCACCTATCTCCTCCCCCAGGGAGGAGTTGAGGATGGCGCCGGCGGACATGACCACGGCGCAGGAGCGCAGGCCGCGCGGGTGCAGCTGGCCGAGCGGCA